ATGCCATAATGTGGAAATGGGTGCACACATATGTATCTTAATCTGAAATATATCCTGTCTCTTGCTTTCACTTCTGTTTCTGTTGAGTCTTTTCTCACATTTCTATCTCCTTGGACATATGCTTTGAGATTTTGATTCTGAGATTAGCATACCAGAGTCAGTTGAATCATTTCTAATCCTGTACCCATTCACCCAGTTCTATTTGTAAGGACTGTTGTTATTATAATATTGGGTTTATTATAGTACAGCTTGGCAGTCTGGATATTCAACCTTTCTCATTTGTATCAGAGCCTCTGGAATCTTCCAAGCTGTATATATGCTTATACTCAAAGGTTTTGCATGCTTCGGTTGGTGAATTTACCTCAAACCTCCTTCCCACTCCTCTTCTGGGTCTCAGGTTTTACTTAGCCTCTCTATTGTTCTTCGACTTCTTCCACTATTTTTTAAAAGGGCTTTAATGCCACACTTTAGTTCCACCCCCCCTTCCCCCTCTCCCCTCCCTCAACTTAGTCTATGGAAAAGCTGTGGGGATTTTTCAAGAGGTGCACCCAGTGTGGGAGGAAGCTTGCCCCCTCCCGATGGCCACTCCTTTTGCTTACTCTGCCTTGAAGAAACTCATTGGCCAGACTCCTGCACCCACCGTGCAAAATTTTCTAAACAAACTAGAAAGAACTGGCTGGTACAACTTCAAGTGGCCCTCTTGGAATCTGCCTTGACTCCCACCAAAATGGCATTGACAACCTCTGTCCAACTGGAGAAGGCTGAATCGGTGAACACATTGATGGGGCACACTCTACCCTCGGGCCAGGCCTCACAAGCCTAGACAAAGACCCCATCCAATACCGGCTTTTCAGCATCAAACAGGTCTGACTCAACGTCGAAGTCCGTGGCGTCTACCCCTACCAAGAAACATAGGGAAGCCAATTGAAGGAAAGCTTTCTTTCTCTCCCCTGAAGCAAGAAATAGGAGAGACTGGCCAAAAGGAGTTGCAATGTTAGAAACAGGAAGCATGAAGCAGCACAGAGCCAGTTGTTCTCTGGCCAGACTGGGGCCTTGAGGGGGCCAAATCCAGCCCATAGCACCTCTGCTGTACACGCTCGCATCAATCCCGATCTTCCCACAGGTCTACAACACTACCAGCAACCTCGACCACCAAGTCTTCAGCACTGATGAGCTGTCCCCACAAGCAGCACACAGCCGCACACCAGGGGACACCAGTGGAAACTGCTGCAGCCTCAGCATCAATACCAATCACACCTCAGCCATCGACATCCCTGACTCATAGCGATGGGCAGCTGTGCATCTCACAGGCTTTGGAGGCCTCCAATGCTGATGACTTGGAAAATGCTACAGGCTGCTAAGGTGCCATGGAACAAACCAGCATCAACTCCTGTTTCATCCAGGCGACTCGACCACATATATAGGGTTCAAGAGACTGGTGCTGAGTTTTTGTTCTGCCATCCCAAACCAAATTCCATGGTGGTGACATCATCCTCTGAAAGCAAACATAGGCTGCGGTCACACGCAACATTAGCCACGCAAGAGATACGGAAGACAAGCGGAGTTTCCGGTCGCGATCTCACCAGCACATCTGGCGAGCGTAGCGCTTCCGTGGCACAACTGAGGCTTCCTGCCGAAAAAGCGCAGCAAAAAACTAGTACCTTGGAGGGCGGGCGTCTGATCGCGTTTCCGGTGGCATCCGGCGCCCGCCCATGTCCCCTTGCGGAAAAGGGGTTTCCCCCCCCCAAGTCTCCGTGGATGCGCACACGCACCCAACAGAGCATGCACATTCGTAGTGTACACAAAAAAAGAAAACCAGTTCGCCGCTCCGCGCGCTTCTTCATTGCGCGCAGGCGTGTGTTGTGATCGGCACCTCTCCCTACCCACGGAAGCTCCACAGAACCTCCACAGAACCTCCACAGTAGGTCTGATCGCTTTACTGCATGTTAGTTGCCCCGGGGCAAACAGCCACACTTCTCCTCTGCAGTTTCCTGCCCGTGTGACAGGGGCCATACACACTCAACCACAGATAAGAAGGGCAAAAAACTAGACTCCTTTGGATGGAAATTCTACTCTTCTGGAGCACTTGGAATCAAAACGCCAACTACCTAGCGTGCATGGCATTATCAGTATTCCTTCTGGGAACAACTTTCCAAAGAGCTCACAGGCCTCCCTGAAGACAAATGCACAGCTGCCAGAAAACTACAAAAGGAAGGCATGACACTCACAAAACAGCAAATCAAGTAATTGAAACACACACTCAATACCTTCTCCAAAATGACTACCTCCACTATTGCCCTAAGGAGACACTCTTGGCTCCAAATGACAACCCTCCACCCTGACACTCATTCTTACATAGAGGACGTCCCCTTCAACAGGGAACGTCTTTTCAATTTGACAACTAACACTGTCCTTCAAGAAATGGATAAAAGCATTAAAGCATCTTGCAGTCTTGGTGTCATGGCTGACTCCCACACCTACAAGCCTAAAACATGGTCAAAGTCCTGGCCTAAATGCCTGTATACCAAACAATCACCTGACCAGACATGGAGGAACCGACAGTCACAGACCACTCACAGGTCATTCTACGCTCCAAAAACTAAATTATCAGGAACACAACAACCATATAGATCCAAGGTCTCCAGACCCTCCAAACAGGGCCTTTGTGTGTCTTCTCCCCACCAGAACCACCTAACAACCTCATCTCTCAGCCTGTCCCCTCCATTTCTTCCTATCAGCCTGGAGAGGAATCACCTCTGTCATCTCACAGGACTACGTGATAGAGTTCATTCAAGCGCCCTCTGGACCAGTGTTTGTCACCACCCTTTCTTCCGACATCCTCCAGGAGAAAGTGCAGACACTTCTAGAAAAACAAGCCATAGAGACAGTACCACCAGATTCACTGGGACATGGATTTTATTCCCAATACTTTACTGTCCCCAAGAAGGATGGTGGCATCAGACCAATGATGAACCTAAGGGCACTGAATGAATTCATCATCTGTTGCAGGTTCAGGAAAACTTCACTCCAGAACATCCTACCACTCTTCAAGGAAAGGGTATTAATGGCCACAATAGATTTGCAGGATGCCTGTTTTCATCTGAACATCAAACCATATCACAGGCAATACCTGTGGTTAATGGTGGGAGGGGAACACTATCAATACAAGGTACTTCCGTTTGAGATCTCCACAGCACAGGTTTCCCCTATCCCCTCCATTGTTACTTTTCCCCATCATAGAGAACAATGGAGGGGATAGGGGCAACCTGTTTGGGGGCCTGTAGAATTGGATCCCCCAGTCCATTGTTCTTCAAACTTGATTGGTATCTTGGGGAGAGGCTCCAGCAGCTACCCTGCGAGTTTGGAGCCTCTCCCTCAAACCTCCTCCCCTCCAGCCCCCAGAATATACCCTATGTTTTCGCCATTGACTTCAATGGCCCATAGGATATGATGGGGCCGAATTGCTGCCAAAATTCGGCGGCAAGCCGATTCAGATCAGAGAATCTGAATTGGCCTGCAGCAGCCCGAAAGGGGTCCGAATGGGCCATTTTCGGGGGTGCATTCGGTTCAGACAAACTGAATGCACATCCACAACTATGACATCTTGCAATTTGGGTGTTATGCCTCTACTGATACACCTCAAGATTACATTAGCCTATTTTGCTGCTGCATCACACTGACTGCTCATATTTAAATTACAGTCTACCCGTACCCCAAGATCTTGTTCATACACACTGCTACCCAGAAGTGTATCCCCCATTCAGTAAGCATGCTTCTCATTTTTGTTACCCAGATGTAGAACTCTGCACTCATCCATCTTATTCCCATCTAACCACTTTTCCGGGATGTTCAGAACTCGTTGTAGTCTGTCGCTATCTTCTGGTGCGTTTGCTACGCCTCTCAATTGGGTGTCATCTGCAGATTTAATGAGTAGCCCCTCCACTCTCTCATCCAGATCATTTATAAAAATATTGAAAAGTACCAGCCCCAGAACTGAGCCCTATGGCATCCCATTGGATACCTCCCTCCAATCAGATGAAATGCCGTTGACAACCACTCTTTGGATGTGGTTCTCCAACCAGTTCGCTATCCATCTAACTATCTTAGTGTCCAGTATGCAGTCCTCCAGTTTTCCCTTCAGAACATAATGGAGAACCCTGTCAGAAGCTTTAATGAAATCTAGATAAACAACAACTTCCCTGTACCACCAAGTGGTCCTTCAGATGCTCACAGATTGACCCCTTTTAAATCTGCTCCAGTATCTTCCCTGGGGCAGAGTTCAGACTGACTGGCCTGTAGTTTCTTGGGTCATCCTTCCTCCCTTTTTTGAAGATTGGGATGACATTTTCCCTCCTCCACCCTTGTGGCACATCTCCCGACCTCTAACAGGTCTTGAAGATGATGGACAAAGGCTCTGCTACCTCTCTAGAAAGTTCTTTGAGCATTCTTGGGTGCACACCATCTGTCCTGGGAGATCTGTACTCATCCAATGCAGCCAGGTGCTTCTCTGTTTGCTCTGTCTTCACCACTCCTCTATTTTGTTAGTCTTTTGGAGAAAAGCTGTACTGTGGCTATTTGTAAGGATGTTGCCAATAAGGCATGTCAATTGGCTTCATCCCTCTAGTGCTTGATAATAAACATAGTCTAATCTTTCTTTTTTGGAACTGAAAAAATGCTTTCAAAGTTTGTTAGTTTAAGCAGCATTCATTTTTTCTCTTTACACCACCAACAAAGACCCTTTCTCAGACCAGAAAGATATGAAGTGTAATGTGAAGCCCCTGAGTAATTTGAAAGGACTTTATTTGCTTTGCTCTCTGTAGCATCCTATTAAGCTGCTAGTATAGTTGATCCAAATTTTCCAGGAAGGAGTAGAAATTGTTGAAAATTAATGTGCGTGTTGAAGGTTGCCTGTCTATCTATACATTCCAAGTCTTGTCTGGACTGCTACTATGTCTGTCAGGTAACTCTAATACACTTTCCTTCACCATGTCTGTTTGCAGGTTATCTTGACGAATCAGGTTACCACGTGGCTGAGCGATGGCCTTGCTGTTCAGGCAGACCCGCTGTCTCCAGCTGATGACTTTTCCCTGTCTGAAGGTAAGCAAATCCTTTTTATTACAGTTGAAACTTGACTCTGGGACAAATCTCCACTACCACTCACAAATCTCTTGTTCATGTTTAAGGGGCAACAAAAATGTAGGTATCAGACCCAATAGAAATTGTAGATAGAGTTCAACGCCCGTTTAATGCATTGTATAAGAGCAGGAGAATATCTATACACTGGGGACTTTAAAAGAATGTTCATCCCCCTATTTCTTTGACAGCATATCTAAAAACATTATTATGCACCTGCTGAATGAGGTCCTTACCACCCCATCTCACCACTGTTAGAGGCAAGAATACTCAACCAACTAACTAGATCAGGGTGTCCAACTCATTTGTTATGAGGGCCAGATCTGACATAGTTGAGACTTTGTTGAGCCGGGCCATGTGTGTAATAAAATATAATGTAACGTAGCAGAGATTTAAACTTTATAACGGACACAAACACAAAGGGTTTTTTTTAACCTAAAATAAAAACATGCATAAAACATTAGCACTCTTGCAATATTTTGTTTAATTAACAGTGTCTGATAACTGACGCTTCTTGCTCTGAATTATTGCATCAAAATTGCTGTTGCAATCTTGAGCATGCTGTTCAAGTGTGTATCTGTAAGCTGCAAACCTACTTTTGATTTATTGACATTCATGACAGAAATCTCATGCTCAGAGTTCTGAGGCTAGGTCCCAGGGGGAAACATGAAATGTCTGGGCATTGCGAGCTTTTCTACATAAATTGCTTCATATGCTGGTCAGGAACATGAGAAGGCACCATGACACAGACTGAGGGCTATGTGTTTATCTACAAAACTATAGTCTTCCTCAGTGGTCAGTATCAGCCTACTGTCTGGGAAGTCTAAATTCAAAATCCCCAAAGGAAATGTGCTGGGTGAACTTGGTCTGGACACACACTCTGAGCTTAATCCACCTCACTGGTTTGTTGCAGTTCCTCATCTAAACAGTTCACATTACTTTCCTACTGAGCAAGATTGGATCATGACAGCATGAATACAGTGAAAAGGGGGAGGGAACCCAGTTGCACCCAGGAGAGCCACAGCGTAACAAGCCCAACAAAACACATACACTGTAGCAAGGCACACAAAAGCTCATACCTTGGATAAAACTTTGTTGGTCTTCAAGTTGTTTTGTATTTCTCCCCAGCGATTGATGCAGCCAAGCAAAACAAGCTCTCCCTCCTTCCCTCCCTCTGGGGAGGAGCCTCAGCCAATGGAAGGGAAGAAAGGCTTGACTTTCTCTCCTGTGCGATTGAGGCAGCCTGGCCAGGAAGCAAGCTCTGGCTTGTTCCGTCTCTCCTCCTGGGAGGGGGAGGGGGAGGAGCCTCAGCCAGTGCAGGGAATAGAAGCTTGCCTATCTCTCCTGAATGATTGAGAGAGTCTGACAAAGCAAACTAGGATACAGCAGCAGAACTGGAAGAAGAAGCAGGAGATAGCCAGTTCCACTGCATGCCTGATAGAAGCCCTCCGGGGGGGGGGGTTTGATCCAGCCCGCAGGCTGCAGGTTTGACACCCCTGAACTAGATGATTGCATTGATCTGATGTGATATGGTAAAACTCATGCATTGGCTATAACTGTTAGCCATTCAGGAGAAAAGCAGCTTGCATGTCTTGAAAAAAGTAATAAATATGTGATTCCTGAATCAACAGTTTTGGTTTCAAATGTAGTGTAGCAAAGTACAGATCTGAATACTATATTATGCTATGAAAGCCTGTACATGGTGTGAAGTTTGATATGTTTAAATACCTGCTTTCTGATAGAGATATGGAAGTGATGTGGTTGGGATATGTTCTGTTTCACCATGTACTCTTACTAATATTGCATATGACTACTATACTGCTGTCTGTTAAAGCTGTTACCCTTAAAGCATGCTTTTTGTAGAACCAGGGAAAAGTGAAATTATGGAAGTCAGTTGCACAATTAAAAAGAACTTGCTGAGTTTAGTCACTTATCCATGATCCATTCACCTAAGCAATGCAACATGAGTAACAGGAAATAGTAGTTAAAAATGTAATCTGATAATAATAGTATAATAAAAAGCATTTATATAATGTTTTCAAGCATTCAGAGCACTTTGCCCACTCTGTCCTATTGCAGTACTTACAATTATCTTGATTGAGACTGAGAGCAGCTTGTCTAAGGTTGCCTAGTGTGTTTATGGCAAAGAGATTTGAATCTATAGCTATTCCCTCATTAAAGATTCCTGAGCAAATTTAGCGAGCAAGGGACCATGCGGACAGGGACGAGAAAATGGTCCTTGAAAAGGACCGTACCCACTCAAAGAAGGTAGGTAAAGGCAGACTGCCTGCCAAGCAAGTCACCTCTTTCCAAACCTTGCATTGGGCTAGCACCCCCCCCCCATCTGCATATGCCTCGGGTGGGCCTGATGACACTTTCCCTTGGGCCCTTCTCACCACTGGGCTGACCTGGTCCAGGTCAGGGGAGAGAGGCTATCAGCCCACTGGGAGAAGTTCCAGCGGCTATAGTGGCCATGGGATAAGAGAACAGCTCCTCTCTTGGATTGCAAACTAGTTAAACAGGTGGCAGACTAGGACAGGTCACACAATGGATTCCACATGGATTGATTTTGATTTGTTAATTTGTTAATCTATGGGAAACTGAGGGTAAGCAGTGAGGGAACCAGGTTTGCAGGTGCGGCCACATTATTCAGGATGGTGAGAGCAACGGGAGGTTGGAGAGCTGCAAAAATATCATTCCAAACTGAGCAAATAGTTGATATTATTATTTGTTAGATTTGTTAATAGCTTAGCCGGGCTCTGGGCAGTGTCCATGGGGGCTTAATGCCATAAAAACATATAAAACATTAAAATTGTACAGAATAATTTACTAAAACTAAGACCCAAATAGAGACTATGATGATGACGTCCTGGTAATTTCTACCCCAGCTCTAGACTATTGTGCCAATTTCTGGACAGGGGGAGAGGGAACTCATAACAGCAATTCAAAAGGGTGGGGGGAGGAAGGGAGGGTGCCAGCCAAGGAAAAACCATTGCTGCCCTCAACCAAAAGCCTGGCGGAACATCTCTGGCTTTCAGGCCCCGCAGAATTGCATAAGATCCCACAGGGCCCTGATTTCATTTGACAGAGGGGGCCCAGACTGAGGAGGCCCTGGCCTTGGTCAAGGACAGCCAGACATCACGGCTTTAAGATAATCAAGACTTCAGCATAATATATTTCCATTTATATTTCCCTTATTTCCTATCTATAGGGCGAGGTAGGAAAGCATATAAGCAAGACACATAAAAAAGAAGAGGACCCCCCCCAATTTTTCGTATCTTTATCTAAGGTTTATATTATTTTATAATAACTAGTAAATATATAGCTATAAAAGAGCATAACTGTGAGAATATGATCATACAATTTGAGTATTAAATTTAAATTTATTTGTAACTCCTCTGACAGCTTTTTGTCTGTAGTAATTATAAAAGGCTTGTAGCCACCCAATATAATTGATGACTAGTAAATCCAGGACAGACAAAAAAAGAGTACTTTTTCACTTAAAGAGTAATTGTAGAATGCACTGCTATCAGATATAGTGATGGCATCTAGTTTCGTTGGCTTTAAAAGGGAATTAAACAAATCCATGGATTCATCAATGGCTATTGGTCATAATAACTAAATGCAGGGCTATTTTTGGGCAGGAACGCACAGGAACGGAGTTCCGGCTGGCTCCTGAGTTGGCCACACCCAGCAGAAACTCATTAGCATAACAGGCCACACCCAACAGCAGAAACTCATTAGGATTGGCTACATTAGGGGTGTGTGGCCTAACATGCAAAGGAGTTCCTGCTACAAAAAAAGCCCTGGGTTTTGACAACAAACAAGGTAAACAGAATAACAAGCAAAAGGTGGGTGTGGCTGGATAACCACACTTCTGGTAACATGGGGGTGTGGCCTAATGTGCTAATGAGCTGTGCTGTCAGGGGTGTGGCCCAATATGCTAATGAGTTCCTGCTGTTGGGTGTGGCCTGGTATGCTAATGAGTTCCTGCTGGGCTTTTTCTACAAAAAGAGCCCTGAAATGGAACCTGCAGAGGCAGACTATCAGTGGCCTGTGAATATCAGTGGTGGCTGAGGGGGGAAACTTTGGGCCCCATGCCCTACTGGTAAGTTTTTCATTGATATCTGGTTGGCTGTTTTGTGAAAGAGGATACTGGATGGAGGGACCATTGGATTTGATCCATCATGGCTGTTCTTATGTTTTTAAGAATCAAGAACTTCCTGATCCACAGCTTAATCTCTAAGGGTCAAACTTCATATGGCATTGGACTTCTGAGACTGGTACTCCTGACAACTCTTTTCCCTAAAACCCAACTGTATAAACATAAGAGCCCTGCTGGATCAGACCAATGGTCTAGTCCAGCATCCTGTTTCATATGGCAGCCAACCAGTTGCTCTTGAGGGAAGATAAAGCAGAGTGGCCTTCCCATAATGCTGTCTCCTAGCACTGGTATTCAGAGGTTTGCCGCAACTGCATATGGAGGTTGCTTTTAGTCATCATGGATAATAGCCATTGATAGACCTACCTATCTAATGCACTTTTGAATACTTGTGTCTATCATTACATCCACTGGCAGTGAATTCCACCATTACTCATTGAGCAAAGAAGTATTTCATTTTGTCTGTCCTGAATGTATTGCCCATCAACTTCATTGGGTTCCCCTGAGTCGTATTCTGGGAGAGGCAGAAAAAGCACTTTGTCCATCTCATGGATAATTTTATAGGCCTCTGTCATGTCTGTCATCATTATAACAGCCCAGATTAAGAAGATCTCTGGACCCAGCCACTCCAGCTGAAACTGTGTTTGTGTTTATACACAGCTGTTTTAAATTGTATTACCTCATTATTTTAAATATATTAGTGTATGTTTTTATCTATTTATGATGTGATGCGCTTGCAGAGAGGGTGGAATCCAAATAAATAAATAAATAAATAAAATGTTCTCCTTTAATTGCCTTTTCT